AGAAAGAAAGAAAGGAAGGATGGGAGGAAGGGAGGAGGAAGGAGGGAAGGAAGAGAGAGAGGGAGGGACGGAGGGAGAATGGGAGGAAGGGAGGGAAGGGGTTAGGAAGTAGGGAGGGAAGGAGGAAGGGGGGTAAAGGAGGGAAGAAGTAAAGAACGGAATGAGGAAAGGAAGGGGAGGGGAGGAAGGGAGGGAGGGAGGGTGAGATTGGGAGGAAGGAGAGAAGGAAATAAGCGAAGGATGGGAGAGAGGAAGGGTTGAAGGGGAGGGAGGAAGGAAGGAAGAAAGGAAGGAAGGAGGGAGGGAAGGAAATAAGGAAGGAAGGGAGGAAGAAAAGAAAGGAAGGAAGAAAAGAGGAAGGAAGGAACGGAAGGGAAAGGAGGAAGGAGGGAAGGAAGGGAGGGGGAAGAGAGAGAGGGAATAAAGAAAGATGGAAAGAGGGAAGGAAGGATGAAAGGAAGGAAGGGAGGGACTGGGGAGGAGGGAGGGAAGAAAGGAAGATGAATCGGAGGGATAGAAGGGCGAAAAGAAGGGAAGAGAAGAAGGAAGGAAGGAAGATAGGAAGGCCAGGATATATGGCAAATAAGAAAAGATGGATTGAAGGAAGAAGGATAGAGAGAAGAGAAGAAGAGAATAAGGGATGAATGAGTGAGTGAAGGAATGATGAAAAAAAAACGAACGAATGAAATAAGGTAGAATAAAAAGAAAGAATAAATGAATAAAGAACTAAATATAAAAAAGATGGAACGGAGGAAAGAAAGGATAGAATTAGAGAACGAATAAAGGGAGGGGGAAGGAAATAAATGAATAAACGAAGTAAAAGAACAACTGACTGAATAAATGAATTAGGAGAGGAAAGACCGGCCCATTTCTGTACAGTTGACCGGTGGGCGTGGCGAGGGTCTCTCTCTCTCTCTCTCTCTCTCTCTCTCTCTCTCTCTCTCGTCCTGCCTCTCTCTCTGTCTCTCTCTTTCTCTCTCGTCCTGCCTCTCTCTCTTTCTCTCGTCCTGCCTCTCTTTCTCTCTCTCTGTCTCTGTCTGTCTGTCTCTCTCTCTTCCCGTCTCTCTCTGTCTGTCTGTCTCTCTACCCACCCTCTCTCTCTCTCGCTCGCTCTGTCTGCCTCTGCCTCTGTCTCTCTCTCTCTCGCTCTGTCTGTCTGTTTCTCCCCCCACCCTTTCTCTCTCTCTCTCTCTCTCTCTCTCTCTGTCTGTCTCTGTCTGTCTGTCTCCCCCCCTCTCTCTCTCTCACTCGCTCGCTCATTCTGCCTGTCTGTATCTGCTTTGTCTCTGTCTCTGCTTCTCTCTCCCTCACTCTCTATATATATACATTTCGCTCGTTCTCGCTTCTCCTTTTTCTCTCTCTCCCCCATAGGCTGTCTGTCTGCCCTTTTCTCCCTCTCTTCTTTCATCCCTCATCTTTCTCTCTCTCTCGTCCTGCCTGTCTCTGTCTCTGTCTGTCTCTCTCTCTCTCTTTCTCTCTCTCACATCCTGCCTGTCTTTGGCTCTGTCTGTCTGTCTCTCTCGTCCTGCCCGTCTCTGTCTGTCTGTCTGTCTCTCTCTCATCTTGCCTGTCTCTGTCTCTGTCTCTCTCTCGCTTTGTCTGTCTGTCTCACCTCCCCCCCTCCTCTCTGTCTCTCTCTTTCTCTGCCTTTCTCTCTCTCGCTTTCACTCTATCTGTCTGTCTCTCCCTCACCCCCCCCTCTCTCTTGCCCTGTCTGTCTTAATCCCTCCCTCTCTCTCTTTCTCTCGCTCTGTCTGCCTGCCCCCTCTCTCTGTCTCTGTCTCTCTCTCACTCTCTCTACATATGCGTTCTCGCTTTCTCTTTTTCTCTTTCTCTCCCACAGTCTGTCTGTCTGCCCTTTTCTCCCTCTCTTCTTTCCTCCCTCATCTCTCTCTCTCTCTTTAATCTCTCTATATCTCTCTCCTTCCCTCTCTCTTTCTCGCTCGCTCTCGCACTCGCTTTCTCTTTCAGGTACATGCAAATATCAGGTTGTTCAATTATTAAATACTGCCATATTTAGTTATACAGTTCTTTTCCATTTTGGACAGGTGATATTAAATCCGGATAGTTCATTATAATATATATATATATATATATATATATATATATATATATATATATATATATATATATATATATATATGCACACACACACACACACACACACACACACACACACACACACACACACACACACACACACACACACACTCAGACACAAATACATTTACATAATATATACACATATATATCTTTTAATTATATACATGATATTTTCATTTGTTACCGGAAATGTAAAGTGTTCCAACTAGCCCCAGTCTTATACACGCACACACACACACATACATACATACACACATATACATATATTTACATTTATATATGTATATATATATATATATATATATATATAAATATATATATATAAATATATATATATATATATATATATATATATATATATATATATATATATATATATATATATATATATATATAT